AACCCCACATTTTCCACAACAGAAATTGGTTGGTCATCTAGCAAAATGAATTCAGTCAATTTCTCTGTGATCATCTTTGCCTTGCTGGTCTCTGAAGCGAGCTTCTCGCGCCTCTGTAATGTTTCTTGCAGCGATTGTTGAAGCGGCACGCTTTTCTTTTTAGCTCTGGTTGTCTGTATATATTCTTCGTACTCCTGTGCGTGGTGCTTACGCAAATGTTTAATCAGGTTTGAAGTGTTGAAGTTGGATTTGGTACTTCCACCCCTGCAAACACTCGCGTTGCACAGGTTGCACTCGGCTGTTTTGCTTCCCTCATCCGGAAGCCTAAAGTACGTCCACACGGCTGACCTTATCCACATAGCGGCACTAACTTCTGAAACTAGCCTAGCATGTGCTACCCATGATGCATTACCTACACTTCACGTGACACATACTGCGGTCTGCTCACTTGCTTTACGATATGTCCGTTTAAGTTTAGCTAAACGTTGCTACATGGTATCGGATCGGACAGATTAAATTCTTTTATCCGATATCCGATCCAAATAATTTTGCACAGTATCGGCCGATACCGATGCCGAGTATCGGATCGGTACATCCCTGATCAGTACCTGTCTGAAGCTACATGGTTAGCTATAGTTAACTTACATTAACCTGTCTGTACTTTCCTTGAACTGAATACTGCTGCCTGTCTTCAACACCTACAGAACTACAGTCTGAGATTGTCTCTTTCAAGCAATGTAATAAACTGCTCTCACATAAATGCCTGTGTATTTAATTAACAAGAACCAGTCCTGCTGCAGAGGCCTGCAGGATGTTGCTCTCAGTTGAGTTTCGAGTTGAGTTGGGGGGGGGTCAGGCTAAAGACTTTGCAATCTAAGACATTCCACAAGCACCTATCTCTGCTGATATTGAGCATGTGACTTAAAGTCCTTAGTGCCTTACTACATCTTAGATGACACTGAATCAGGTAACTAGATTGTTCACAGTTTAGCTCTATGCATGCTGATTCGTCTGCATTTAAATTGAAATGATACCAATATCTATACTGCTATTTCTTTCCATATTGTGGCAGTAAAACTACGACTGTGGGCAAAACACAAAGCTTTAAGATTGTACATGCTGTCCAGATCCAAAGGTCATTCATACAGCCCAGGCAGCTTGTAGTCAGAGGACAACCTTGTTAATGAAAAAGGGTAAAATCAACCCTTTACTGTACCAGTGTCCTTGAGTGCAGATAACAACACTGATGCTTGCACATACTGTAAGAGCTCTGCTAGTGCATGCTGACTTGTCTACTAAAATAGTTCATCCAATGCTATAATTACATCTCCAGTATTTATTGCTGGTTATTTGTTTACTTACTAATATGTCTAATATCTGCTGTAGTCTAAAGCAGTCACCAGCCTGAGCTGAGCCATGTGCACCAAACAATACCCCAAAAAAGGGGTACATCTTAAAGTGACCTTAGATGCCACGTCGTCATACCTGGGCCAACCTTCATCTTTTTTATAATCGGGTTTTGCTGCAGTGAAATTACATTTAAAATGATTAAGTGAATGTAGCCCAATATTCACAGCTGTATGTACAAATAAATACATTTTGTGTGGGAAGTATCAGAGTGGACATTACAGTGTTTGTTATAACCGATATTCTAAATTAAACTTTAATTAACATTTGAATTATACTGCTGTGTGGTATCCCGCTTCCAAACACTGTCAGTCAAAGTCTGTAACACATATTACTCAATGCAAGACCAGGTGTTCTATAGGCTAAAAGCCTTGCATTATTAATCAGCGTGCCTTGTTCTTCCCAGTGTTCACCACTTAGCACTTTGTAGGCATTTTGTTTGCAGCTCTCTGCAACTAAACACCACTGACTGTCTTCTAGATATCCAACACTTATGATATCCTGCTTTTCTTCTACCATATATGCCAGTCATGTATGTTGTTGTACCGTCTCTGTACAATTACCAAAAACAATACCTGTGTCCTGACTCAACCAAGCAAATCAAGTAAGGCCACAACTAACTATTTTCATTACTGAATAACCATATAATTCACTGAGGTCAATGTTCACAGTTCACAGCCCAAGAGCCAACTTGTCAAATGTTGTTTTCCCAATCCAAAGTACAAAGTTCAAAGGAAATTCATTCACTATCACATAGCATTAAAAAAAAAACACTGAATCCCCACATTTGACATTGCAAATGCCTGACTTTTTTTGTTAAAATCGACTGAAACAACGACGAACTAATGAAAATATTTGGCATGATCAATTAAGTAATGCTCCTCGTCAATGAATATGAAATTCTACCATATGCACCAACAGTACAAATGTGAACATGTGTACACAGTGGAATAGACTCAACTATTCATCTCAGATGAGAAGATGAGGAACTTGTCACAGTACCACTTGATTATACAGAGGTACTCTATTCAAAGTGGAGCAAAGAGCAGCTGTGCCACTTAAGATGCAAAACAAAGACAAGCATTTGTATTCATTTTTCTTCCACTATCTCATTATTATTCAATCGTCTGCCTTGCCCCTGTTACAGACTTACTTCCAATTCAGGAGAAAACACTTTATGACAGAGAGCAGTGGGACAACGGCGACACATTGGTGTCAAAGTTCACACAGTGCTCAGCAGGGGAGAAACTAGCCCTTCTTTGTATCTCTCATATTTACATTCAAGTCACAAAAGGTAAAAGATCTGTCAAAAAAACAACTGTTGGCAGGACCAACATCTGAAAGGCCAAGACAATCATTAAACAATTACCATTGGTTTTACAGCAATTTTGTGCTTGATCAACATAGAGCTATTGTCCTTAAGTCCTGTAAAACTACATGTCCTTGGAAGGCACAATGGCAACATGTATGAATGATAATCCATCTTACCTGTATAACCTGCAGCCCAGCCCCATGATGACACCATGGCCAGCAGCCATTTGAACATAATTCCTTCAATGTGCCAGAAAGTGGAGCTGTCCCATATTCTCAGCGGCTGGAGAAGCAGCAGGTATAAGCAGTAGGACGGGATGGCTACACAGTTGTTGAAGAACATAAACAGAAAACGGAGCACAGACTTGAGCAGAACCCAGCCCAGTTTAACGGCCCTGTCCAAGAGCTGTGCCATCCTGATACACACCGTCTGCAACAGAGGCACAGCAGCAGTTAGTGTCTTAGCAGGAAGACAAGACGAGCTATGTGTGTACTGTGTGTATTATTAATGTAAACAAACTGATGTGCTCTGAACAGTACACAAATCCTCAAATCAGCCCAATGTTTTACCAGGAGGGAGCCTGCCGCTAGCCGGCAGAGGGTGAGGCTATTTCGCGGAATTTTAATGTAACACAGGTATAATGGACTATCATATGATTAATGCTTTTGCTCACGATGATGTATTCTGGACTGTGGCCTGGCCTGCCCAGCCGTACCAATTACGCATTTAAAGGCAGGACCGTAAAAGGATCAGTCGCAGGGGACGTGATCGAGTTTATGAAATGCTAGCTAGGAGTAGGCTGAGTTAGCATAACGGGAGCAGGTATTAAGAAATAGCGTTACATTGGCATGCACAAAAACGATAGCTAATAAAGCACGCGTGTATTTTATGAAACAATACCAAATATTAACTAACTCAGACACTTGATTTCTGAAGGTTGGTGCAACGCACAATATCCTGTGCCTCATCCAGAATTTAGTCCGACCCTAGAATTTGTAAAAGTCTGATAGCTCATGTTACTCACCCAATTAAATGTCGCTGAAGCGTCCAAGGACAGTCAGAGATGGAGCAATTAGAGGCAGGACTGTTGGGGCGAAATAAATTGTGTCACGTGTACTTAACCCAAACAGTTAAGTTAGCAATTTTTGCTACTTGACATGGTAGTCTACCAAATCTTGGGACAGAGGTAAAGACGTATAAGAGCGTTAACGTTAAAACAAAGCATGTGCAATAAATCTGCGGCTGCACCCATTTAGCTAACGTTATCCGGGGCTGCCCGGTACAGTGACTCCCAGTGGGCACCGTTAGCTCGCTAGCTAGCTAGCAAGCAACTCCACTTTAGCGCCGCTGGCTCCATCTCAGTCAGAGACACCGGGATGATTCCACTGATGCATCATCATCATCGTCGTCGTCGTCAAGTTAGCTAGCTACTGAGCTCCCATTAGCGAATATGCACGAGTAGCGGTTCGCCCGGGCCTGTGATCAAAGCTGTGGATTAGGCAAACACCACAAAAAATATAGAACAACATATGCACAGCCAATGCGAAGACAAGCGATTTTTTTTTTTAATTTTTTCCAGGTTGGCAGGACCCGTTATCCTTGTCCAGACCGCGATTTACACCGCGTCAACATTCACAAAAGATCACCATAGAAAGACCGGAAACGCGTCTCTTGCTTTCAAAATATGAGCGCTGGTTTTCCATGCATGATAGAACAGGCTCAAATTTTTATACATCAACCCAAACAGTTGTATTTGTTTATAAATGTATTATGTTTGTATGACATGGAAAATACCTCTTTGTGAAATGAATACATATTTTCATTATTTCTTAGTGACTGAAAACCAAGAGGAAAAACAACAAAAGCCATCAAGTGACAGGAAAATATCTGAAGTTGGATTCTTAATGGCATCAAGGAGACATCAGATTGGCCTACAAATCAATCTGAAACATGCAAGAATGCAAAATAGGTACAGTCATAAAGAGTTATAAATCTCTATTTTAGTGACAAGAACAACAGGGAGTCCTGCAACAGATGGTGTGATGTTAATTTGATGTTTTTCCCCATTTACTGCACTTTGGTTTTATTTTTAAAAGTATACCCACTTTACTTTTAGTGCCTAAAAGCATTTGCACAGTACAGCATTGCTAGACGCTAATAAAAACAATTTTGCTATTGGGCCCCTACTGAATCCCACCACACAGAAATTTAGTTAGGAAATCTCACACATAGTAGATTTACATACCAGTATAACACAGTACGTGGGTTAAGTTTATATTTGTACACAGGGCTGTCCCCATACAAGACAGTCACATTAGTGATGCAAGCCAAGTGACAGATGGTGTGAAGGGAACATAACAGAGCAGTAGAGAATATTGATTACATAAATGCACAAATTAAATCAAATTCTTAAGTTTCGACTTGGAAACACTAGTTTTAATTTATAATATAGAAACTGTAAAGCCTTAAAAATGCTGTGGTAACATGCACGATAGTGTGTCATCTGTTTCTGTCAGATTGCAAAATATAATTAAAATGTTTCATGAACTGAAGAGACAACTTATCTAGAAATCCATTTGGTTTCTATTGCTGTGGAATGAACAATCAAAAGAAATTTGGGATTTAATCGCCTACTAGGGATTCATAGGAATATCGCTTTTATTTTGAAAATCAGGTGTGGAGGTTTCATTTGTATTTCTTTCTCATTTTACGCTCTTGTTCACCTGACGCCAGTGCGCAAACTCCCAGATGCCAAGTACTGATGCCTTCAGTATCCATGAAAAGACAGATAAAACCAGGTTCTGTAATTTTCCCAATCTTGTGACTACATGTCAAGATATCTGTCTTAATTCCAGGCTGAATCTTATTTTCAGATTATATAATAACGGCGTGCATAAATTCACAATTAAAATTAATGCATTTACCTCACTTTAAATCATAAACAATAAGCTACTTGAGCTGAACTTGTGTAAATGCACAAATATGTTAGAATATACTAGTGTAGAACTATGGTGTTATGACTGTCCGTTAAAATAACATGAAAAAAGCAATATTTCGGCTTCATAATATAATGTATAACGTAAAATACACAGCTGGAGGTCTAAATGTTTACATTTCAACAAAGTAATTTAGGCAAGCCTGGATTTGCCACCAGCTATTTTGGTACTTTTCAGACAATCATGATTAACTATGGTCTGCCCCCTGATGGTCAACTCTGTTATTACATTTTATGCAGAATAATAGGGTAAATCCAAGGACATTCAAATTTTGTCCTAGAGATTACTCCATGGAATATGTTTAGATTAAGAGTATGGACACAGAATTAAAAGCCATTTTGCATTCTCTGGTGGTCAATAATTGACAGTGAAATGATTGCAATACTGTGTCCTTTCCACCTGGTCAATAATATTTTGCAAGCATTACTCAGAGCGCAGCATTAAAATTAAATCTGGTCTTTTAATTGGTCATAAAATATATACAGTTTCTTCAAGACAAAACAGATCAAGTAGACAAGCTAAAACAGTTTTTGACAGTAAAAAAAGCATCAAGGGCACATTTACTAGAAGCGGTTGTATGCACTCCTCTGTGGAGCAGTCTGGGCTCCACCCTGCTGCAGCTGGTGGCGGAGCTGCTGGGAGTAAGGATCCTCCAGGGATTTGACGGACATCGTTGTCTTGGGACCGGTCTTCCACTCTATGCCACTGTTGTCCACCACGGAGGCTTCCACAGTGACCGTGTGAGTGCCCAGGATTGAGAAATTCAGCAAGAAGTGGGTGCTGAAGTAGTCGTTGTGTGGTTCTACCTGCTGCTCAATCTCATTAGTTTTAGTGTCTAAAGGAATCTGAAAGGTAAAAACAGCAGAGAAGAAAACAAATATCACCAAAGGAGCATTCTTATACTGTACAGTAAGGCTAAGGCCCCATTCAGAGCGCATTTTAGCAGCCTGGGGTAGCATTTTGAAGTTGTCTTAAACTAGAGTGAAGGGTTTTTCCTTGCTGCTTTTGCATCGCTGAGCGTCTCGAGTCATTTTTGCAGGAGCAGCCCAAACATATCCATTTGAAAAAAAACTTCCTTGGAGCAGAAAAGCATGCATCATCATTGGCATTTTTCCTATTGTCAAAAAAGTAGCAGTGTGGTGAACACAGTAGAACAGAAAAGAAGACTTAATATTTCAGTTTTTAAAACAGAGTATGTGTAAACCATCTGCACAAAAAGCAAAGACGGAGGCTGCACACCTTGTAGTCAGGCCCCGTCTTGCTCTGAAGAACTGAAGTGACATTGAGACAGACAGACTGGATCTTCCTGAACAGTCCTGGGGTCGAACCATGCTGCACCACCCCCTCCACCTTTAGGGTCAGCTGTTGAGTGTTCTGCACCGGGATTGGTTCACTCGGTGTTCGTGGGGATGGAGAGAGGGCAAGCTAGCAAAAAGAAAATGCATATCTTTAAGACAGCTAAAGAATGCAAGTTGTCAAGACAACTTACTAATTCACACTACTTACCTTTGGAGGTGCAAGTGCACTGTATGCAACTTTGAACAAACCCATACAAGAATGTATATAAAACATTTTGTCTACTGTCCCTGTGCACTCCATGTGATCTAGCAAGGATAAGGATGAGGACAATCACCTTTATTTGGCCAAGTATGTTTGGAATGTGTTTCCGGTACAGAACCGAGGCAGCCATCTGTGGCGCCAACTCAACCAATGGCTCTAACCATCGGGTTGTAGGGGTCACTCCTCTTTCATGTTTTAGATTCTGTTTGGCGATTGTGACTTGGTAAGTGTGCCTTTTCCATTGTACTTGTCTATTTTTGGCAATTATAAAAGTAGTTACCTTAATACTTGTTGACTGGAGCTTTTGGAAGAAGTACCTCTGGAAAGATAGGGGGACTTTGAGCAAAGCTATGATGGCATCACAAAGACAACCTGTATGCTGAAAACAATAACAAAAAAAAAAACACATTAACTTGATTAAAAATACAAGAAATCAACTGCATCTTTGTTTCAGACTGACCAAGAATGAAAGCAGCAGCATAATCTTAACATAGCTTTATACTAGCAATTGTCAACCAGTGGGCTGAGACAACCCTGTGTCAGTAAAAGCTCAGCATGAGGTGAGAAAATATGACCCTAAATACATTATTTTATGGTTTAATTATTTATTTGACAGGGTGGCCCTTGAAAAGTTTTTAAACAAAAGCGGGCCTTAAGTTACAAAAGGTTGAGAACCTCTGCTGTATACAGTACTGGAAAAAAAGCAAAAGATCTGTTACAAACATTGTGTTCTGCAAATTTGATAAACACCCTGCAGCTAAAGTGTAACCAGCTTAGCATATACAAACTTGTTCACCAAAGGTTCAATGTTAATCATACCAGGTATGAAACAGGAGGATGTTTCTTGGTGAGGCCCTCTACTTCTTCCAGTACATGGTTGAAGACTGAAATCATTCGTCGCTCATACTCACTCTCTGTCTGCAGCGACCCCAGGGTGCCAAACTCCTGAAAACTATGGTACAGAGACAAAGACGGATAAGCTGGTTCAGACAGCTGTCTGCCAGGAGAATGTCTAATGTCTTCAAGGAAGGCATGCTGTGGCAAAACACTTACACAACAGAAAACACAAAAGTACATGGCAGAATAAAAGACTGTATTGAAAAAGAAAAAAAAAAATAATTTACTGCATTTTTACTCATTCCAGTGTACATCAGATATGCAGCTTACAAAAACCTACATCCATATATCATGCTATCTGGTCATAGCATGGACATTTACCTTGAAACACAAAATCATGCATATAAACCTAAACCAAGATTTTCCGTCACTTTACCAACTCTACCACATATAATCTACATTTTCTCAAACGTCAACCTAGTGCACACCCTCAGCCCGGGCCAAGGAACATGATAAAGGAGAAAGCTATTTTACGCATCACAATGAGCAACAACAGCTCTCACCTGGCTGCCTGTGGGTCCAGTATCAGTGCTTCTATTACATGGGAGACAAGCAAACAGCTCTGCTGTTGTCTAGACAAAGAGTTAAGCACCATGACATTAGACTGTGTCAAAAACTACCCTAATGTAATTGAAGCATGTTAAAGGATACAGCTCCACATTGCGAAGGGTGGCATGGTCGGCATCAAACGAAGACTGGTGTAAATCAGCATAGCGAGCAGCAAGACGTCTGAACTCATCCATGCATACCTTCATCTGGAAAAAGGAGCACAATTATCCTTCCTGGATACATAAATCCTGGACAATAAACTACTGGCTTGCTTGGGGCTGTTTGCTGCTGTTGGGTTTTGCCCCTGGCACCTGCAGTATTTTACAATGTCTACACCTGTTCCTTCGGTCCATCTGTAGCAAGCCCGCCTGGCACTCAAAGTCAGACATCTGTGCCATTTGCCCTCTATTTTCACATACATTCATTTTAGGGTCTGATCAATACATACAACAACTTCCTCTCAGTGCCATTTCATTAAAAACAGAACATCATTATTTATAAACTGATGCCAGCCAGCAATTTGTTGAGTACATTCTGTGCTGCAGCACATAGACAGTAGGCTATACTAACCTATACCAGTGACCACCTTACATTCATTTTAGAGTCTGATCAATACATACAATAACTTCCTCTCAATGCTATTTCATTAAAAACAGAACATCATTATTTATAAACTGATGCCAGCCAGCAATTTGTTGAGTACATTCTGTGCTGCAGCACATAGACAGTAGGCTATACTAACCTATACCAGTGACCACCTTGCAAAGAAAAATCTTCAGTGTTTTACCTGCATGGAAATGCGGCCGCACCGCTGGAGCTCATTGCCTGAGGTTAGGGCGATGGTAGTGGCGATGGCAGGAGGAGGGCTGGTTTTCAGGCTGTTGCATGTGCAAATGAGTTGCGACAGGGCTTGCAGGGTGTCAATCCGCAGCTTAATGAACTCGCACTGGAATGTAAGGGGGCTCAGAGGGGTGCTGGCAGCCTAAAGGGAAGGGATTAATCAGATGAATGTGGATACACACCACAGTTAAATAGCTATATAGGTCTTCTGAGTTTACCTAACAAGATACAGTCAGGCATTAAGTGAGTTAATCCATTAACAATCTGAGATGCTGTGAAATCAACTTTAACAAAAGGACTCCGGCCTGACTTTCAGCAGCTTTAAGCACCCTGCCACTGGTGAAAGCAGTGCACCATTAATGATTTTTACAAGCAGATGCATGGCAGTTAACTGACTGTGAGGGAGGCGATGCCCTTTTGGTAGGAGCGCAGGGCCTCAGCAATGGCGCTCATGGCTCCACTGTAGTTTCCATCTTCCACATGATTGAGGCACTGCTCAGCCTGGGAAAACTCCTTCAGGCTGTTTAGCCAGAAGTAGAAGTGTTCTGATGCCACACGAGTCCGCAGGCTCTGGTAAAGTTCACTGGAGAACTCGTGACATCCCTGCAAATGAATGACAAGAATTTTATGAGTTTCAGGTGTTTCACTGTGACAAATTTTGATTCAAACTAATAGATGCTTGTGTCCAGGTGAACCTTTACCGGTTCTAACAGACTTGAAAGCACAGTCCTGTTAGAGCATAGACCTATATTTTCATGTTAGCGGCTCCAACAAAGGAGTAACAATTAAGACTGTCCAGGCCTAAACACACCAGACAACTTCATACTGGCACACACCCATCAACAGGCTGTCAAAAGATACCTACCAAGTGAGAATGTATCTTATAACTTCTATCCCTCATTATCTGACAGTATAGCTGCCATTAGACCGCCTGTTGCAACAAAACCCTATTAAAGTAAACAAGCAGATATTGTGAAGTATTAGATATATGCAAGCAGAAAATATTACCATGCGTGAAGCTTGTCGTGCGATGCGGTACACCGTCCAACCATTAGCAACATTCTCCAGCTGTTGTTTGATGACGGTCTTCACCTCAGCTGACAGAGATGCCTGGCTGGCGACAAAAATCACTGTTGCCAAGGAAACCTATAGCAATCATGGGAGGAGAGATGAGTCAGCGGTTAAGGTAATATGTAGGCTACAAAATCAAATAAGCTGAAAACAAGCTTGTATGTGCACATTGATTTTCCATGATTTGACTCATTTACGATCTCTCACCAGAAGCTCTTGCTGCTTGTCAGTGGAGGAGTGACTGGCCACTCTGTAGAGTTCCACCAGATCTCCCAGCATACCATCACCCAGCACTGGGAGGTGGGTGGGGATGGCTGCTAGAGCGTGGCACATGAGAACGCGCGAGGAGTCGCAGGATAAGTGGAGCTGGCCGAGCAGGAACTCCACAGCTGATTGGCTGAGATGGGGTCGACTTTTCATCAGCTTAACCAGTGAGGTGAGGGCTGTCTAGGGTTGGAGAAAAAAAGGAAGTACAAACAACAACAACAAAAAACTAAGTCTTACTGTTTTATTTATGTCACAATACAGACTGGGATTGCACACCGAAGTTAATCAATCATCATCATCACATGTTGCCAGGAGGTGGATGGCAGGTGAGTTCAATGTTTTAGGGAAGGAACTATTAAAGTTCTAAGGATTAAACTTTAGAGTCACATTTGGGCAGTAGATATCAATGACTGATTCCTGTTTATAGAATTTGCATCAAAAAAAGCATTGAGGATAAATACGCAGCTCTTTTCCTGGTATTTACCCAATGTATGTTGACTGCTTTGTGGTTATAATGTCTTACTTTGAGAGTAGCCTGAGCGCTGGGGCTGCTGTCCTGACTGCAAAGCATCAGAAGGGACTCCACTCCCATAACTGTATCCTGTTCCAACTGTACTATATCTGATGAGGGGAAATACAAACAATAGTAGCACTTAGCCTCGGCAAACAAGAGCAAACATCGGTGTGGTAAAACTGAGATTAAAGCACAGATGAGCACTGGCAATAGAGGAATCCCTAAAACAGGGCATTACCCGCTGCAACGAACCTTTTTCTGAACAGGAAATGGCAATGTTGCAGAGCACTAGGACCCCATGTGCAGCCACCGCCAGGTTGCTGTGGTAACAGCATTCTTGTGCCAGTTTAACCAGGTCAGTGAGCCGGGGGTGAACTGAAGAACCACCTGAAAAGAATGTTTTACAGAATAGAGATCAGGCATTGTTCCCGTTCTCACAAGGCAAATACCATAGCTGGAAATATCCATCTAAAGCCTAGTTAGAATGAACAGTACCGGTCACGTTACTGAAGTACTGTTTGATTGCAACTGTTCCAGAAAGGGTGCAGAGGACAGCCAGCATCCCCAGCTTCAAACTGTTGTAAGGACTAGTCAAGGCACACTCACACAGGGTCTGCAGGTATGAACACATTAAGATTACTTACAGGTTTAAATCCAACATGAAGTGCACTTATACCACATGAAACTCTACCTGAGTGTTCTCTCGGGTCCAAAGATGGGGAGCTTTTTTAGCCAGGAGCTTTAGGTCATTAATTGCGAGTCTCTTCACAGCTTTTCTAGGGTCATCTTTAAGGTATTGTAAGAGAAGCTGTAACTGTATGAATAAGGAATCAAATAAAACATCAGTCATTTTACAGATACCAGTGCAAACTTCAATAACAGCAACAGAGCTACATCATTAACAGCTAAATGTTAAAGGCATATATTTCTAAGTCTCTTGTCAGGGCAAAATACTACAGTAACTGACCAACAGCAATGTCTCATGGTCCCTACCTGCTTAGGAATATCGATGAGGGAAGAGGCAGCCAGCTGAGTGAAGGTGTGCAGGGTGACGATGACCATGGGGGTGGAGGGGTAAGAGTTGACCAGATGCTGTAGAAGCTCTCTGCTGCTAGACGCCAAGCTGGCATCATGATGCATGTGCTGCAGCATGGGAATCAGCTTCAGCTTCAGTTCTACTGGAGTGTCTAAACCTGGGGGAGGGGGGGGAGATACATAACAATGAGTATCCAGAGCTTGTAAAAAAAAAAGGTACCTGATAGCCATTCTGATCAGTCAAGATTTTACCTTGAATCATCTCACTGACTTTGTTGCAAATCCCAGCTGCAAAGTCTCTAAAAAAATGGAGAAACAGTATTTAAAAACATCACCTTTACATTATCCAAAATACATCTTGCATATAATGCACTAAAGTTCAGTTTTAGCAACAAATTTCCTTACTTTGACTGTGCAGAAAAGCTTGCAGCAGCAAATATAGCTGCTTCCACTTCCACATTGTCGTGAGAGTCCAGACTTTGGCGAATACTGTGGTGAGCATTCTTTCTCTCTGGGATGATGGACGCCAGACTACCAAGCATCCTGAACAGAAGGAACAACAGGTCAATTGTTTTAAGCCAAAGAGAACTGTTTAGAGTGGGAAGATGGCAAGTATGTGCCACTTTTTTTTGTAACTGAACAGAAGGACCTTTTAGAATTGTGTCACAAATTTGGTGCCAACCAGCAAAAGCGAACAACTTTTTAATTATAGATTATTACCTCAGCGTGATGGCTCTGGCCACAGGGTCATTGCTATGGATGACCGAAAACACCCTTTTAACAAATTCATCCACATTGAAAATCTTTTCCAGATGTTTCTCACTCTGTTGAGTTACTTTCAGCACACAGAGGCGCAAGAAGTTGTTCCTGAGGGAAAAAAAGAGAGAAGCTGTTGAAATGCATTGTGTATGATTGTTTACTGCCTGTTTATTTTGCATTGTTCCCACTGTTTGTTGCTTGTTACTACTGTTTATGTTGCTTTACTACACAGCCTTATGTTGATTTACTGTTTACTTGCCCCTTGCATGGGGATATGTACATGCACATTGAGAGCCGATGTACCAGAGTCAAATTGTGTCATTCACACTCTGTAACAGTCACCCTTCTAAAACAAAGCAAAACAATCCACACATTAAAAACACGTGACAAATTAAAAGTCAAAAAGCAGCATGGACATGGAAAGGCGCTAGATACATTGTATAAAGTACAGAAGATATCAAAATTGGAAATGAAAAATTTGCACCGATTTATAAGCACCCATACCCAAGTCTAAAGATGTCTGCTAGTTTCAGAAATGCTGAGTTGATAAGGATGGGGAAAGGGTACTTCTGGAAGAGTTTGGGGAAGAGCACCACAGCCTCACACTGCTCTCCCAGCTTTCCCGATCGCAACCCTAAAATTGAAACAATTTTACGTCAACCAAGCAGGGACATCCCGTACAGTTAGTAACATTTAACAAAACCACATGACACATAAGACCACAGAATTTTCATAAGAAGAAAAACCATCACACGGAGACGACGTGACAGACAAGATCAGACTACAATCACATGCTAACTCGTTAGCAAGCTAGCTAACGCACCTTTGTCCAGCTCCATCAGAGCAGAATTGGCGTCGAGTTCTTGTTCGCCATAATAAGCCTCCGATAAGAATGATCGTGCAGTTGAAAGCGACATTATTGACAAATTTATCACCTAAAACAACAGAACTTATAGTACCTACTAGCCTTTAGCATTTCATTGTGTCGGCAGCGAATAAAACACACTCAAACCCGGAGTTAGAGCAAAATACTCCCGGTCCGGAGTTTTGTTTTTCACAATAAAGCGTATATAAAAGGCTTTCTGCATTTGCTACTTTCTTAAAATCCAAATGGTTATGTTTATACTAATTGCCTCTGCAAATTCTTAGAAAATTCCAAGTATGAAGTAGCATAAAAATGAACTAGTCAAGTAAAATACAAATACCTCAAAGCTGTACTTAACTTTAAATGATATTTCTCAATCACTGCACATTTACAAGACCATTTTCTGCATCATCCAAATCTACACATCATCCAAAACAAAGATGGAAATGTCACTAAAACAATTAAACGAGGGCGATTTATGTTGAAAGAGTAGATGGTTTGATGATAACTGTGGCAAACTTAACAAAACTGTAGTACAAAGAAAGCGGATGTAGAGTCGCTGCTTGGGAGGAAGTTGCTGTTTCGACCAATAGTAGCGAGCAACGCAACTTTAGCGGGGAATTCGGTCTGTGTGGTCAGATAACCTGTTCGCGGGAAAGGCATCCTGCAGCAACACGGGGGAAAAGCCTACCGGCTAGCGATCTGACAAACCTCTCAGAATTATTATAGGGAATAAATTCAGATTGTCATCTTCTAGAGTGAAGAGATGCTTTTCCGCTCTATTGTCGACAGAGGAGTGGGCATACGGAGGCAGAATGGTAAGACAGTCGATGTGTGGTCTGAGGTTCTTGCAGCTACCAGTGAATTTTAGCCAAGTCTGGATAACGTAGAGATATTCATAAAAGTCCCGTATTATGTTTGAACTTGTAAATCCACCACACTTTAGAGTTGGATCTTTAGTCGAGTAACAGTTACTATTGGTGTTTATTTGGCAGTTTACCTCATTGAGCACAAATCAACGTTAGCTTACCATAACGTGGTTTTTGGTTACGTTAATCAACTAACTAACTAACCGCTGCTGGTTTTTGTCAGACATTGGCTAAGTCCACATAAGTTAATGTAACACATCCTGTAATGGAAAGTACATAATTTATTTCAGTAAATGCATTTAAACATATAACGTCTTTTAAGTGCTTTAATTTGGTCATGAAATAGTATGTCAGATTGCCATCTGTGTCAGAAGGGAATTGTAAGGTCCCATCATGGAAAATATCATTTACACAGGAACCTTCTGTGTGTGTGATCAAAACTCCTTCATTGCAAAACTCAAAACTGTAACATGTAAAGGAGCAGCAGTAGTACTAGTAACTAGTATCTCTAAAAGTACTGTATCTTCCTAAAATGACTACTTTCTGCACAGCCCGCCCCGCAGATCTTTGGCCCAGGTACCCTCTAAGCTCTCTGCTACAAGGCTACCAGTGTGTTCGCCATGATGAGCACATCTCGTACGGGAACGGTGACTCTGTGCCACCATTTGGATTGGCTTTCGCCTCTGGTAACCCACCAGCATTTTATCATAAGATGATAAACAACAGAGCCAGAAGCTGGTGTCATTTATCTGGCTAACTGGCATGTCCTTGTGCTCTCATTTTCTTTCAGCTGGTGACCTGCAGAATGTCCTTGCAGCAGCTAATGAAGAGGGCATTGTTAGGATCTACAACACAGAGAGTCAAGACAACCCCATTCTTAAAGGTATGTGCGGAGACTCTTCACAGTTATCCTGTCCATCATCACTGTTGTCATTGTCACCAGGGAATCCCAGTAGCTGATGTTATGTGAACTTTGCAGAATGGCTGGCTCATGACAATGCTGTCTTTGATATTGCCTGGGTACCAGGGGAGCCTCAGTTGGTATGTACAAATTCATTCTATGCTGTCAGTCTACTGTGAATCAGGTTGAGCCAGTAACATCTTTTTAATTTTGTATAATCTTATGTACTTGTTTGGAAAGTTTTTGTTTATTCGTTCTTGTACTGTATGTAAGTGCTATTATTCTCACACTTCTTTGTAGTTCCTCATTTGGTTTTTTTCCCCCTTCCATATAAAGACTATTCTGAATTCTTCATGTATCATCCTCAGGTGACTGCTGCAGGTGATCAGATGGCCAAGCTGTGGGATGTGAAGTCAGGAGATCTGTTAGGCAGTTTCAAGGGCCACCTCTGCAGTCTCAAATCTGTTGCGTTCACGCCACAGGAGAAAGGTATATTATAAACCAGACAACTATACTGCCAGGGGAAATTAAAGCTCCTTGTTCAGCATATTGAAATTAGATGTAGGAACTCTGGTAATCTGTTAATAATGGTGAATGTTTATATACATCTTTGGAGCTGGTAGGGCACTAAATAACCAGTAAAACATGCAGAAGTCCTATTAGATTATCTAAAAATTTAAAGAAAGAAGCAGTATTTTTTTTGTAGGTGTATGCTTAACAGTTTAAATTTCATATTTGTTACATCAATAAGGCTTTTTTTGTACTCTGTTTAACAGCTGTATTCTGTACTGGAGCCAGAGATGGAAATATTATGATTTGGGACACCAGGTGCAGCAAAAAAGGTATTGGTTAAAGATTTCAATTACAGAGTGTTTTTTTATATATATATTCAGTGATATGACAAGTTTTGCTGCATCCAGTCTTTTTTGTAAAATGGCAGAAGATAAGAGGCTATGAGTGGCAAAACCAGAACGACTGCGACTAATCATATTTCGCTAGTGTTTGATCATATTTTGTCATCTTCTCAGGTGAATTCTACAGACAAGTGAACCAGATAAGTGGTGCTCACAACAAAGCAGAGACAAACACCCCCTATAAAACAAAGAGGAGACGGAGCAGCATGCGTGGGATGGCTCCTAGTGTGGTGAGTTTCCTTAATAACAGACCGTGTTTGTTGAAATAAAGTGAGACAAAGACTGGGGAGGTGGACAGGCATGGTTGATCTTCAGTCACGTCACCTTTCTTGCAGGATACCCAGCAGAGTGTCACAGAGGTTTTGTTTCGGGATCAACACACCCTCATCTCTTCAGGGGCTGTTGATGGGTAAGAAACCACTGTTACTTTATGCGAACATGTAGTAAGTCATTGTAAAACTAATTAGCATTTTTATTTTAATCCTCCTAACCAGAGTAATCAAGATGTGGGATCTGAGAAAGAACTACACTGCACACCGGCAGGATCCTTCTCCACTGCAGACGTACCCATACCCGGGTTCTTGCACACGCATGCGACTGGGTTAGTTCTGAGTGTCATGTTTATAGTGGGCATCATGTTTATTTGGTGCATGATGAAATTAATCTGAAAGTTGTTTTGCATGTGTTGGTAGGTTATTCTGGACTTGTTCTGGACTCCACAAGATCCAACGTCATGTGTAACTGCACTGATGATAATATCTACATGTTCAATGTCAGTGGAATAAAAACAACTCCAGGTAAACAAGGGCTCCACTCAGACTACATATCTACTGTAGTACAGGCACACACATGTATATCTAGTTTATCACTGCATATTTTATTCCCATTTCATATCACTAGGTGGGGCTGTAAATTAATATCCTGTACCTTAACGGTCATGGGAAGTAGTGAGGAAAGCAGCGAGGCCTGATTAGATACAGAGGAAATGTAGAAACACTCTGTGTGCTTGTACAACCTTATTCTAATATGTTTAAGTCAGACCTTGAGTGTGTTAAAGTCCTGGCCTAAAGTTCTAATCAATACTGAATCAGTTGTTTAATACTGAAATCATTTTAAGTAAGTCAGCCATTTTGAATCACAATACAGTCCAAATTTTGGTCTGGTCCTGATAGGTTGGATTAATTTGAATTGTTTTACCTGTTCCTTTCATCTGATAGTTTTTAGGCTTATTTGGTATTTGAACTGAGGCTTTATTTTTTTTGATCGGCATGTTTTCTTGTGCAGTGGCAGTTTTCAGTGGCCACCAGAACAAAACATTTTACATAAAGTCCACTGTTAGCCCAGATGACCAGTTCTTGGCCAGTGGCTCAAGTGACAGTCACACATACATCTGGAAGGTGAGGTCTCTCTTTTATTTTGGTCTTATATGATGGAAACTGTTTCATGTTTTAGGGTGGTGAGGATTGTGCGTTTTAAGTTGTTCACTGCTTTTTTTAATATTTTAGATCTTGGATCCTCAACATCCTCCCATGATGCTTCAAGGGCATAGTGAGGAAGTGACATCTGTTGCATGGTGCCCAACAGATTTCACTAAGGTCAGACAGCAAACCTTAATGGTTTTCACTTAAGAAAAATCTTTAGATATTAATCAGTTATAACCCGGCAGGCTAGCAACGTGGTCTCTATCCTGTTCCCTTTGTAAAAAAAAAAAAAAAACAACTTGATTGTTTCAGAGGGTTTTCTGTTCCCCTGCTGTTAAAGCTGAGTGGTTTTGAAATTTCAGGAAAATATATTTAGGCTCTGCATAATCCTTACTGCTCTGTTGGCAGATTGCTTCCTGTTCTGATGACCACACTGTAAGAATCTGGAGGCTTCACCGGGAAATGGATGGAGTGCAGTCTTTAGTGGAAAATGCAAACCTTGTGGGTTGGGCACGTCCTAAGTCTCCCACAAGTAAGTATTTCAACTACTATCTTCCTATCCTTGTAAATGACTGACATAAATTAGCATTCATCTTCTGTGTTATCCTATATTTATTCTTTTTTCTTCCTATTTTAGCCAGAAAAACTTAACAGCAACTTTTCTAATGTTGTTTCTTTTCTGTGCTGCTTCCTAAGCATGTGAAATATGAAAGAGCATCTTTAAGAAATCACTGCTTTCCTGCTCTTGAATACAGTCTAAACTAACAAGGACTTGTGCTTTTGTTAAGAGTCTATAAACAGAACTGAGACAACTCCTGCCAAAACCCAGAGGACAGAAAGTCTTGTAGGCCTGACCTCACCCCAGCTAGCTGCCTGTGCTCCCAGTGGGGCCTCCCTTCCTCTACCCTCAAGCACCCCTTCACCTATCACGTCTCAGGACACAAAGGCTGCTGCTGGTCGCCAAAGAACATCACCTTCTATCAAACAGTGGTTATCCCCAAGCCATGGGTCTCCTGGGCAGCTCAGCCCTCCTCTGCACAGGGTGCTGAGCCTGGAGAGCAGCTCCTCTCCCCCAGAACGACAGGCTAAGCGCAGGCTGGAGACCAATGACAGTGCACCTGCAGACTGTGAGCATGCACAACAGTGTGACTGTGTTACTGAACTTTACCCTCCGACCAAGAGAAGCCACGTCCTGTCAAGTATCAGCTGTGGTCAGGAGTGCCAGGTACAAACAGAATGTCACACAGAGGACAAGCAGGCCTCATCTAGACAGACGGGCAAGGAGAATTCCACCCCCAGAGCGATGGACTGGTTGTCCGCGGTGGGCCAAAAGATGAGCAAAGGCCAAAGAAGCCCGAGAAGCCCCAGAAGTCCCAGTGCCTCTAAGAAACAAGAAGGCAAGACACCAGCTTCACCGGTAAGTACAGAACTCCCAGGGTTAGAAGGGGGGGGGGGCAACTTCAATATTCACATAACATTTGGATATGCACATTAATTAGCATTTACTTGTGATTTTTCTCTAAATTTGATTAAGGTATGTGCTGCATTTAGATGGAAACCCATTTAATGTTGATCTTTTGTTTTTAGGCAGGGTGAACCTGTTTAACAGTAGAAAAACTCTGGTTGAATCACTTCAGAGAGAAAAACCTATTTGTCATGTCCTCTGGCTGTGCACTGTTATTAAAGATTTCTTACACTTTAAGTTACTTGGAATGTTGCCACTCAAGAAAATCTAGCTTACTGTTAAATATCTTAATTGAAACTCATTGAATATGAATGACTAGCCCTCTGTTGTATGCAGTGTTGCTATGCACCCAGCTGTTGTATGATTATTGCAGTTGACCTTTTTGTATCTTGTTTTGCAGACAAGCCACTCACCCCAAAGCATGAAAAAAATCTCCACATATTTCATCAGAAGGCCTCTGGAGTGATCTACTTGGACAGACCAGATGTCCCGTGCTTTTGTTCAAAATGCTGTTTTTATTTTGTGTATTTTTAAGGGGGATAGACAGACTATACTCCCCCCAAAAGCACTGAGAAGAGGAACCTGTACTGTTCAGAGATTGACAGAGGCATTGTGAAAATGTGATGCTACATTTTTTTTACTATACATCCAGAGAGGCTGCTTTTCTATTTTAATTGGGTCATAGGTTTTGCCTTGTACACAGTTTTCTGGTGCTGTGCAGAGAGAGATGTCGCATGTTCCTGGGTAAATTTTTCATTTTACTCAACTCTGACAACTCTAAGAGATTCATTAGCATTTAATACAAGTCCTCATTTAATAATACATTTGTAAATGTGGCTGGCCAGGTATTAATCCTCAACTGCAAAAAAAAAAAAAATTGTCCACAGGTGTGAATATTTTCATTTCTGAAAACAATCCCCATTCATTTGGTTCACATCTTTGATTCCTTTCATGAGCTTTACTAATATTAAAATATAAGCTGGACACAGATGTGCTCAGTAACAGTAAGAGTGTAAGCAAACCATTTATATTGCCATCTATTTGTGTGTGTTTTTTTTCATGCATGAGTTTTTTTTTTGTCTCTGTGTTGCCCAAACATTTTTTCTTGAGCAAATACTTATGTTGTTTATATGTACAAAATAACCAGTGGATGTTACTTGGTTTATTTGTATTTTATTGACAAATTTTCTGTGCTCAGATTTTATTAAATTCAAAATACTTTTGAATGGGTGTGGGATGTTATTGGTTGCATATTATCATTGTGATCAATATGTTTGTGTAATTAACAGTGCCTGGCAATGAGATAGAAATGGCAGTAATGTACCACAGTGGCATCCTTTTTTTAAATTGTGGCACTTTAAACATGTCTAGTCCTCCACAAAATGTTTTATATCAGTATATGTTGAGGCCTGAGGAACTCATATTATCTGCTATTTTGCTGAGGAAAAAGTAAAAATTGCTAAAGTAAAGCTAATTTTGTGTAGCATGCAGAAATATATTTTCTCTACCCCACAGATTTGTGTTGTAACCCCTTGGAAGGGTCACAAGTTAGAAACTATTGATATTATGCCATAAAGCAATATTCTTTCATTTTCAGCAAATTACAGCTAACTATATAGCATTTATAATTATTTCCTGTCCCAGGAATGAGAAACAAAAGTGCAGGCAGAACATATATCCTTTATTGGAGTGTAATTTTATTTTAAGACAGTCATCGCCCATGCAAAGAGCGTAATGGCAAATGTTTAGATGCTGAATCCCTGATGTTTTGGGTAAGTGCATTAACTTTCTCTACTCATAAATACCTACCACAGCTGCCACTCCTCACTAAATTGTACTACTTCGCATATTTGTTTTCACATATCACATGTTCACAGCTCACTTTCTGCGCGACTTGATTGGTTTAAAAAGTTTGAAGGTTTTAAAATCTACACTCGTGATTGGCCCATAGTAACGTCAATCAATGACATATTTGTCGGGCTCTGCGCTCTACCTCACAGTCAAGTCAGACAACGAAGACGGAGCAGTGGTATCGGGTAGTTTTATGGCTCTCTACTCAATACAATATGTTTGTTCTGTTTAAGGATACTCTGGTTTTTAAAGGCCGTGAAAACGAAACCACCGCTGTATATTCGACGAAGAATATTGCCAAGACAAAGTAACTCTTATGTGAACACGGTTAACTTTTAAGTGCTAAATGAGACTCAATCGTCGAACGACATCAACTTCATCTATCGGAGATAGTTCTCCTGAACATACCCAGGAGGGAGTCTATTAAGGATTAAAACCGATGCTTGAAGACGAAGACTTTACGTTTTAGCGAAGAACTTCGTGGATTTCATGGGGCAACTATCTTTTGTAACTTTTTTTCTTTAACTGCGATGCAAACTGTTGTAGGTACGTATTGGCATACATGAACGTCAGCTAATTTTAGCAAGCTAGCTAGGTATATTAGCTGGCAGCCTAGCAGTACAGTAGTTTGCTGCTGTCGGGATTTTACTACTAATTCGAGCGACTTTTATGACAATGTCTTTTGTATGTTTTGCAACAAGTAGACCTTTTATGCACACGACGAAACAACAAACAGACATTTAAGATACGTAACAGATATTTGCCTAAACGTTAGTTTGATAGCACCGATTACACTGCGGGGGCAATGTCATGAATTTTAGTTTGTTTTTTTTGGTTCGTGTGTTGAAGATTGTTCCCGTGTTACAGAAAACAACAATGCCGTTTTTGGATACAGTTTAACCCAAATACCGACCGATAATGTTGGATCATACAGAATAACGCAAGACTTTGAGCATCAAGTCGTATAGTTTGCTCCGTATGCTTTTGCTGATGCGAACGGTAGGAACAGAAGAGGAAACCTTTAATTTGACCTAGGGATAGAAAAGCTTCTCTGAAGTCTTCGTCAGTTTATGCATCAAGATGTCGGCCATCTCTGCATCTGAGAAAGTGGACGGGTTTACGAGAAAGTCCGTGAGGAAGGCCCAGAAACAGAGGAAATCCCAAGGCTCTTCTCAGTACCACACTCAGAGCTCTACTGTTGAGCTTTCACCGCTGCCGCAACTCAAAGGTACGGTAAGAGGATGAAGCGGACTACCGCTAAAAATAGTCTGTCTGTCATTACCCCCTGTCTTGGATATAGTGTTAGATCCGCAGCAGTTACAATCAGTATGCAGCCTGTCAGCATAGCTGCAGTAGACAAATGAAGTGAAAGTCGTATGTACAGATATTTTACATTGTTTACACACCCACAGACAACAGTGCAGAAGTTTTAGCTAACATTGTTTAAACCTGCTGTACAGGACAAAGAGGTTGGAACACATCTCCAAACATTTCCCCCTTTTGTGTTTTTTCTTCTACACAAGTAGCTTGAAAGAGTTGACCATGGGACATATGAAAAAAATTGCACGACTGTCTTTCAAAGTGCATATCAGTTTTGTGTATTGTGAACAGTTTTTTCCCCTTTCATTACTCTTGCTTTGTGCTTTGTGATGTGTTTTTACTGAGACAAGCCTCACTAGAGCAGCTGGGGCTAAACTGACATGCAGAGACACATCCAGAGAATGATGCTGAAGAATGGTTAAGAGGGATTTATGTCTTTGCTTCAAAATGTTGTGGAGATTACATCCAGGGGCTCCATATCTCTGCCAGAGGTATCTCCAAAGCGGATACTTGCCTCCACATAAAAGTGACTTAAGGTTGAGCTACAGAGATACAGTGTGTAAGACATAGCACCTGTTATTGGTCAGATTGGGCTGTTTTTGTTTCCTCCATGCTGATTCTGGTAGAGACTGGTGAAAGTAAAGACAACACTGAGAAACTTGAGTAAAAAGCTCAGTCATCTGTTTCCTGTGGTTTGTTTATGTTGTGTGACATTTAAAAAAAAAAAAAAAATCCAGTTCAAACATGCAGAAGTACAGCACAAGTGCTGTGCCAGAGAATAACGCCTGGAGCACATCCACGCAGAAGTATGTCACTGGTTTAAATCATTTTCTACTCATTTCTATACACTGTCCAAATTATGCTAACAAGAAATTGAACCTGTAACCTGCAGGTCACGAGCCTCTTGATCCAAGGTTGATTCTAAAGTGTACTTGCATGTAAGTGTACTACATTGTACTCCATAGTACTTCACAGGATTGAAGAGTACCTAGTAAGAAGTATGACAATACTTCACCTGAGGATATTGTATGACAGATCATATTTCATCATACACAGTAAGACATGCATGTGACTGTTAGTTGTTTTCCTGTAGCCTGTGGTTAAATCTGACACTGACAAGCCGCCTTACAAATGTGTGTATTTTAAGTTCCATTCACAACAACGTTGGCATTGCCAGTGTGTAGCTGGAACATGTTTTCACAAGTTATTTAATTGTAGTGTAGCATACATTTTAGATTGTTCTAAACCTCAGGCTTAATGAAAACAGTCTAATGGAGAGATCTAGAAATATTGAAGCGTTTTGGTTGAACTTTGTCTGCCAGTCTACAATTCTGTAGCATGTTAACACTAAATTGTGTATTCATTGGATGTTTATAAGAGCCAGTTGTAATACTGTGAGAAGTCATGAATGTTGTTGTGCCTCACAGTAGAAATAATGTGATGGTCCTGACAGTACCCATCCCTATTCATGAATCGTGTTCCTTTTTATCCAGAATGGTGTTATTAAATATAATGACTTTCATTAGCAGTTTGTTCACATCAATAATGAGCACAGGCCTTAACAACTTGTCAGCAGTGTTTTTCTTACAGGGAAGAGGATGGCTGAGGAAAGAGACTTGTCTGGTCAAGAAGTAACTTTTCAACATGATGCAACAAATTGGTTCCTCATTTGTTATGTTTATTGTATGCATTCGTTATAAGGGGGCATAAGGCAATGTGCACAGGATTTTTTTTTTTAAGAGCTTTATGTTTTTTCATATCACAACCTTAAAGCACTAGCTGTTGAAATTATGAGGTACATTTTGTTAAAGCACAAAAATCTGAGATTGATTTTTCTTTTTGGTAGTGCAGCAATCAAGGTTTATTCCTAAGTCAATGTTTGGAATATTTGAAAATAATTTAAACACATTTAATTTCTATTAATATTATGCAGAAGGAAAGGTTTGTAAAAGAGCCTGTACAGTCACTTTCAGTTTGTATCATATGTTGAAGATCTGTTTTCATTAATTACTGGGAGAGCTATAAAGGAGCTTCAACGCACTGTGGGGTTGGGCTAGTAGTGCCAGAGGGCTTCCCTGTTAAACTTGCACAGATTTATGAACTTTTGTGTAACTGGATCAGGTTGAAATACTGCAAGAGAGCTGCTACAAATCACAAGTAATGGGAGGAGACTAGAGTTTGAAGCATACCTATGATTTGATGGATAAGCAAATGTTAGTGTTATTATGCAATACATTATTCAGAAACTTCAGTGCTTCAAAAAGCAGAAATTACTGAGCATACTAACTAAAATGTTAATAGTAATGGTGACAATTTTGCATGACTCTGAAAATGTGTGGAATGCTAAAAGTGTCTGTCAAATGAAAATGTGTTGCTAGTTGGTTTTGTAGCAAAATCTGTAGTCTTTTGTCTCAGCCCAGAGTGATGCATGGGGCCACTCACAGTTGTGGATGATCACCATAAGGATTTATAGCTTGAGTTCAGCTGTCCAGTGCAAGCTTTGTCTGGGGGATGTGGCAGAAATTCACACTTGTATGCATCTTGGAAAGATAGCCTGCTGTGGTCAGCAAGTCTCCTTATGCCTTGATGTAAAAATCAGACACAAGTTGTGACATTATAGTAGAAGTAGGTTGTATTATTCCAGGTTAAATGTAACGTATAAAAGTGATGGCACAGCAAAGAAATGTGACATAATGTATATTACTCTTCAGAGTACTGAATTTGTTTATTAAGTATTGCAGTGCTCTGTGGTTGACCAACTATACACCTGAGCTCACAAATATTTTAAGGTAACTTAATTTGACAGAACTATTAATTCAACGTCCTTATTTGTTGTGGGGCATTTGACTGCACCACAAAGCCTTCATCAGCAGATGGAGTTTTCCCCATTGTCTGTGAGCTGTGAATGTTAAAACCTTCCTTGATTCTGAGCAAGTTTAGGGTCATGTTTAGTGTGGTGTATCTTCTTATTCATAAATAATTACTTCCTTTTGCTGCCTACATTTTACCTTACCTCAAGGATGTTTGTACAAGCACATTTTTTTTGAGCTTGTTTAAATGACACTGAGTCACAATGTATGATTCATTTATGAATTGTATGATTCATGCCATGATTACAAATAGGTCCATAGCTGTTCATACTCACTGTAAGTTAAGGTTAACACTTTAGTTATTGCTGTACACTGAAGAATTAACTGAATATCTTTTATTACCTATTGGTATTGTACTATCAGCTGATAACATTGCTGAATCAGTTTGCACATTTACCTAAAAACCAAGTGACAGGAGTACAGTGTTAACCTTTGACAGGAGCCCTTTCTGTTAGTGTAAAGCAAGGATCCTGATCCAAATTGGACTGCATACCTACTGTTGCCCGGCCAGCATGTTTCAGGTCCTAGTAGCTTACAAAGATGCTTCTTCCCTCCTGCAGCGGAGAGGTGGGAGCACTTTTAGCTCCTACTGTGTGATAGACACAGAAAAGATGAGTCACTTAGAGACCGACATTGTTGCCATGACAACCACAAGCCTTGAGAGCAAGCCAGGGAAATGTTTTACTTTCCAAATACAGACTGCTTCATTTAGGCTGATATTTCTGTCTCTGCAATGACATTTTGAGCCAAGCCATGATTTCGAGCTAGAGTTAAGGTTACATTTGGGTGGTGTGGTTATTGTCAATACAAGTACAGAACGCTCATCAGTCAAAAATTATATTGATTTGAGTTTCCATGACAGTCAAGGATAGCTGTTCTGTTGTCTCTTTTTCTTTGTTTTATGCTCTCACTTGTTTTTGTTCTGCTTTAAAGAAAGTCAATTAATTCTTGGATCTATTGATTGACACCTACTTCATTCATTCTTCCTGTCAGCTGTATTAAACAGCCTGTAGAGTACTCCACAGATTTAGCTCTGCACTTCTGTTAAGTTGGACGACTCACAATCAGGCCCTTGGTTATTGCTTGTTTATATTATGAACCTGCTGATCATATTATACTGTAGATATAATCAATGGATAATGTGCTGTGGGACATGTTAAAAATGAGAAAAATGACATTCACAATTACTTAGTGTTAATGTCTCTAAATAGCTTTTACCCCCCAATGAGCAGACCAGAAGCTGAAGCTTTTAAATTTACTGTCACATACAACAAAATACAGTAGTAATCCTTACATTTAATAAGCTGAATTAACCAAACCAAATTTTCTGTAATTCAGGCTTCTAAAATGTGCAAATTTGCTTTATATAATTGTACATCTTCATACTTTAAACCATCCAGATAATTTGAAGTCATTACCTTGTAAATTGTAGAAATTATGGGCATTTTCACTGTTTTCTGCCATTTATATAGCCTTAGTTTTCAGCCTGCATCAGCTTTATCATTGACTCATTGATGTCTGATTAAAGAATACAATTCCACTCTAATGGTCAATGGTTTGATAAGTGTGTTCCACACACAGTTTCCATCATGTCTGCCAATGCATAATTTTCTACAAAAGAAAGGGACAAATATTTTGTTTTGGACTGTGATGATGCTGTCAGTGCCATAACTGTGGCTTCTGGCAAGTTAGGAATTGGTTCCATCAAATCAACTACTGTGATTTTATTTTGTGCTGACTGAAGATGTGGGTTGTGTGGTTCTGGGCTCCCATAATGTCTACCTGCAAGTAAGGCTGAGTGCTATTACATAATACATTATTATGAAAATAATAATGTATTATGTAGACAGAGAAAAGACATCTGGTTTTCTGTGCCCATCTTAAATGAACATTTTATGCTGTCTTTATTTTTAATGGGCTTGTAATTAGATATGAGCCAACAGTGAACCTATACCTCTGAGCCTAATACGTTAACTGTTTTCACTGATTTGGACATGAAGTAAGATGATGTCAGGGGGTAGGACTGGATAAGTCTGAC